TTCTGATCTAATACATTGGCTGAGGTTGTGCCCATCATATCCTGATTCAGTTTACCTGTCTGGCCTCCAGGAAAATAGATGTATCATGGCGGATGATGGATGGTGGACTACTATAAATGTAAGCACATGATAACCCCAACCAGAGCTACTCTACTCAATGTGGTATCTTAAAATTTTTTTTGTAATATTGATTAGAGAGAGAGAAATTTCAATTAGCTGTTCCACTTATTGATGCATTCCCTGGTTGATTCTTGTACATGCCCTGACTAGGGATGGAACCTGCAACCTTTGCGTATCAGGACAATGCTCCAACCAGCTGAGCTACTGGCTAGGGTAATAGCTTTAAAAAATTATTTTAATTGATTTTTAGGGAGAAAGAGAGACAGAGAAACATTGATTTGTTGTTCTACTTATTTATGCATTCACTGGTTGATCCTTGTGTGTGGCCTGACTAGGAATCGAACCCGCAACCTTGATGTATCAGGACGGTGCTCTAACCAACATAGCTACCCGGCCAGGGCCTCAATGTGGTATCTTTACTGGAGCATAACAGCACAAGCTCTAATCATTGTGTATGGTAATTGATTTAGCAAATGCTTTCTTTCTCTTTTTTAAGTTTATTTTTAATTACAGTTGACCTACAATGTTATATTAGTTTCAGATGTACACCTACTGATTAAACATTTATACACCTGACACAGTGATCCCCACAATGTCTAGTAACCAACTGTCACCACACATAGCTATTACGATATTATTGACTATATTCCCTATGCTGTACCTTACATCCCGTGACTTATTTTTTTTTTTCATTGATTTTAGATTGAGGGAGGAAAGGAGAGAGAGAGAGACATCGATTTTGTTGCTCCATTTATTGATGCATTCATTGGTTGAGTCCTGCGTGTGGCCTTATGGGGGATCAAACCCACAACCTTGGTGTATCAGCATGACACTCTAACAACTGAGTGACCTGGTCAGGGCATGATTTATTTCATAACCTGCAGTTGGCACTTCTTAATCCCCTTCGATTTTTGCACTCACCCGCCCACCACACCCTCCAGTGCTTTCTATTTAATGCCCCTGAGAAGGGACCATGGAAGGCAGTTTGCTTTTGCTTCACAATGTCACAATGACAGCACCTTCATTCTCTCCCCTTAGGGCTTTGTTAACTCCCCAGTTCTCCTTACAATGCAGTCCTCAGGGACCTTGATTGCCTTGGCTTTCCGCAGAATGGCATGCTGGTCCACTACGTTAATGACATCATGCTCCTCACTCATAAACAGGAAGTGGTAAAAGCACCAAGTTTGCCAGAGAGTGGGAGATAAATTACATGTAGATTCATGGTCTCACCACACTGGGAACATTTTTAGGAGTTCCATGGCTTGGGGCATGCCAGGACAAGTCATCTCACCTCACACATCCCACCACTTAAAAACAGGCACGTTTGGTGGGCCTCTTTGAGTTTTGGAGGCAGAATATATACACTTCTTCAACCCTTTACAGGGTAACCTGGAAGGCTGCCAATCCTGAGCACGGCCCAGAGCAAGAAAGGGCTGTACAGAAGGTTCAAACCATAAAACAGGCGATGCTGCCACTTTGGATTATGTGATCCTGCAGATTCAAGGTTGTGGGAGGAATAAAGATTCTGGAGGGTGTCTCTGAAAACTCAAATTGAAGGGCTGCAGTGAGAACCCCCAGTTCTGGAGTAAGGCCATAGTCACCATTGTCCATTTGAACAAAAGGGTCCTGGTGTGTCCCTGGACGCAGTAGTGCCTGACCATCTGACCACTGGATGCTAGGTGGCTATACACCTTAAGCTAGATGTCATCCGACAGGCACAGCAGCAATCCAATGTGATGGAAGTGGTATATTCAGGGCTGGGCTCAAAGAGTCCAGAGGGGTGAGTAAATCCAACAAACAGGCAGCTCAGACTCCCGTGGCACCTAAATCTATTGATCTGACACCTCTCCTTTAACCTGTACCTATGGCCTCGTGGAGGGTTCCCTGCAACCAACTGATAAAGAAGGGAAGGAATTAAACCCATGCCACAGATAGGTGGATGAGGTATTTTGGCATCAGTTGGAAACGGACCACTCTGTTATGGCCCCAGCTGGGAGCAGCCATGAAGGACGGTGGTAAATCCTCCCAAGGGGCAGGACTGTGAGCAGCACACTTTCTCATGCCCTTTGCATAGACGAAGGGATGGGCTGAGGTTCAGGTGTGCACTAATTCCTGATAAGTGGCAAATGGCATAGCTAATTGATCAAGGGCATGGAAAGGGCAAAATTGGAGTTTTGGAGATAAGCAGGTCTGGGTAAGGACATGTGGATGAAGCTACAGGAGTGGGCAAAAAGCATGCAGATCTTTGTGTCCCAACATTCATGCTCACCAGAGACCATCTACCGCAGGAAAAAGCTCTCCAGCCCGATGGTCAGATGCCCTATCTTACGGATGTCACCCAACCTCTAAACTTAGCCACTCTATTGTTTTACAAAAGACTGTAAGAGTAGCCATGGTAGCAATGAATGGTTCCAACAACCTGGCCTCCCTCTCACCAAGGCTGATCTAGCAACTGCCAACAAGTAGCTAACCAGCCAGCAGTAGGCAGCAGTTTAGCGCCATCGGTCAGGGAGAGCAGGCAGCCACCTCATGACAGGTCACTTATATCCACTCCCTTCCACCTTGGAGAAGGCAAGGATTCATCCTTATTGGAACTTACATTACTTACCCATAGTGCCTCTATAAGCATCACCATCCAAACACTTAAAAAACACTCAATCTATTACCTAGTGCCAAGACCCATTTTACGGCAAAGGATGTTTGGTTACAGGAACATGGGCTTCACTGGCCTTGAGGCAGGAGATAGTCAGGGAGGAGGAAACTCCGGAGGTGCCTCAGGGCTAAGACAAAGGACATTGATTCAAGACAGGGACCCTGTGCTAAGACCGGTTGCCCCACTCCTTTCTGGAAAAGCACTGAATCACGGTGAATCATGACTGCTCCTGCGCAGAAGATGCTACATGACCCCCGCTTCATTATAACAGCATCGCAATAAATTAACATAGTGGGACCCCCGTCCCGGTGGCCAGCCAAGGAAAATTATGGGAGACCACGTGCACAGTAGCTTTAAAATAATAAAACTACTTGAACATGCACAATTTTTATTGTCCACCAAAACTAGTCAGCAAGCATCTGCCATATAAGAATAGAATCCCTCCAGCCACTGAGGGTCAATCTCTGCTTAGAGTTGGCCTGCTCCCATGTTCTGTGGAGTGTACTATCGCTAATAAATCTGCTCTCTCTCTCTTTCTGCTGTAAACTCTTTGTGTGTTCAATTCCCTCAGTTCAATTCATTGTTTGTGATCACTAAGAACCTGGTTACCTATGCCCACCTGCGACAGTCTTATCATATGTGCCCATCACCCAGCAGCAGGCAGCATGAGAGAACAATGGTATGGAATGACTTCATTTCCACAAGTTTTAATCTCCTCTGCAAAGTGGGGATCAGAGACGATGTATATTAGGGGACAGAACACATGGCCAAGAAGAGGGAGCATGAGGGTAAATGAGAAACCAAGGCTCACAGACACTGGTGACTCGCTGAAGACCACACAGCTAGTAAATGACAGAAGCAGAACTAGAACTTGCCCACAGGATGGAAACTGACGCCCGGAAGAGGTGCTTTGGAAATCGCCTGCCCAGGTACTGGCAGAGGTGGCAAAGGTTTGTCCCAGAGACCCCACAGAGTCCCTGGCTCACCGGCTTTATCATTACAGGAAAATCACTTCTTCTTTTCCTTTGAAAAGAAGAGCTACTGATATCGTAGCTAGTTCCACAAAGAAGGCGATATTCATGCAGGAGAACACAAAACCCCTTGAAAAGGCCTTGAAGCAAAAACCCCTACCAGGTGCTTCCTGGTATGATTCCAGAAATGCCTCCACAGATTCATTCTTCTGACTCATCTGGCCAGTCTGCCTGGAAGGTGAAAACTCCACGGGAAAGACCGTATTTTGCCATGTATAATGTTCACTTTTTTGCTCAAATTTTTGAGGGAAAAATAAGGATGTGCATTATATATGGGTAGTAGTAATTCTGTACCTATATAAATGTTTTTTTAGTCTTTTATTTATGCTTATGCATTAAAAGCATAAGTCTAGAAAGCAATAACGATATCCATATGCAAAATAATACCTGGAAGATGAGCATTGGTTTTGTTTCTAAAAATAAATTAAAAAATTAAAACAAAAGATTTTTTTCCTGAAAGTTTGGGCTAAAAACGTGGGTGCGCATTATACACAGCAAAATACGGTAAATAACTTTCTGCATTAAGGTTGTTTCTGGCTCCACATCTCTTTTCAGGTTTTCAGAAGGTGAATGGTTCTCATAATGCTTCCCTCAAAGCTGCCGGCTGAGAAAATGGCCATCTAGAAGAGCTCTTAACTAAAGATGATAACTATGTGGATTAAACCAAGATTTGAGGGGTTCTGGAAGGTGTCTGCAGAGATTCTCCGGCCCAAGTCCTGCTCTGGTAGCCATGAAAAATCCTCAATCATGTGAAAATTTGAACTGGTTATAGGATAAAATAAACTCATAATGTGGATTTAAAATAATTTTCAAAAAACAGTACATGGTACTTCACAAAATTATTGTGGGATTGGAAAGGTCATATAGAGCACTCTGTACAGGTCCCGGCATACAGCAAGTGCTCAACGAATGGTAGGTATTACCATTGACTGAACTGTGAAAAGCCTCTGAGCCCCAAGAGGAACTGGTTGTTGGGCTTCACTAAATCTAGCAGGGCCATGGATCCTGCTTTGGATGTTCAAAGGTCCTGTTTGAATTACACTTTTCTGCCAGCAGGGAGAGCAGAGAGGCTGTTAGCAGAGATGCAGGAGAAAAGGAAACTCTGCAAAAGTGTAGGAAATGGAAACTCTGACAGAGATTGGCCATCTATCCTGGAGGGATGAGGGGCGGGGCAAAATTAGAATGTGATTATAAAAAGACAGCCTGCAGGCTGAGAGAGCCACAGCTGCTGCTTACTGCTGCTTGCGTCCACCCGCAGGCTCCGGGCAGGAAGATTCCTTCTCTTCTCTCCTCCAAGGTAAACCCAGAAATGATGAGGTATGGGTGTCAAGCAATCACCCTTTGCCAGGTTCCCTACCTGTGGGCCTCATGCCCGGAGGGCCAGGATGCCCATTCCTCAGAGAGGCTACTTTTAGTGCCCTGGTCTAAGACTGGTCTGAGGGGAGGGTTGGAGCTTTTAGGGGGTTGGGGTGCAAAACCCCAAGAAGCTTTAGTCTTAAGCTTACAGATGCCATGTCAGCATCTATGGCCTTAACTGTCATTTCACTTTTGGGGGCTTTAGTTCCCATCTGCAAAATGAGAATCAAGCTACCTGATTTGCCAAAGGACTGCATGATTTCTGAAACCCTTGGGTTGCAGGATCTAATGTGACAGTGAGTTTATCTTGAAGGATAAATGGAGTGATCTGGAATGATTGTTAAAAGTGTGGGTTTGAGCATCAGTCGGTTGCAGGTTTAAATCTTGATTCTGCCACTTCCTGGCTGGGCAGACATGGGAATATTAAACTCTCTGAGTTTCAGTTTCCTTGTCTATAACACATGGTTAAGAACAGCGGGACCTCCAGGTACTTCGTGTGGTTGTTAGGGGTATAAAACGACCTTGTGCCATAAAATGCTGAGTAAGTACTCGATCCTGGGGTTGGAGGAGGATATTGTTAGTTTTTAAGAAAATTGCACTGAGCTGGCCAAAATCACATTAGAGGTGAGTTTGGGGGCACATGCATTTTCCTACTCTGTGGTGCAATGGAGAGAACATAGGTTTTGAATTCTGACAGTCTTGACTGGGTGTCTTGGCTGCACAATTTACTGTATGACCTTGGACAAGCTCTTTAACCCCTCAGTGCTTTCTTTCTATAAAAGGAGGTTGATGTGAGGACAGTTTGATGTTTGTAAACATTCAATGCATTGGATGAATAAGTTGATCAACAACCATTTTTAAAAGAAAATTCTATGTGACAGGTACTGTTCCAAGTGCTAGCGACATAGTGTTGAATAGTTTCAAAACTCACAGTCACCCACTAAAATAGGCTCTATTAATACCCCCATCTTAGGAATAAGTAAATCAAGGCCCAGAGAAGCCCCCCCCCCATCCTACCCGAGGTCACACAGGCAGTGACAGCAAAGTCTGACAAAGTCAACAACAGAAACCACAGTAATGTTACTAGCTGACATCATTCAGCACGGGCCACGTGCGAGCACGGGCCACGTGCCAGGCACCTTACCGGAAGGATTCCTACCCTGATTCTCACGACCACAGGGTGAGGCGAGAACATCGCCGCCGCAGACGTTGCCGTGGGGAAATGGAAACCCCGCGGCCCTTTACAGGGATTCTGAGCTCAATCTATAGCACCTCGCTGCTTTTTATGGACTCATCCTCCAATCGGAAGGGAAAACAGCCGAGCGGGTGTGGCTCAAAAAATGGCTCTGCATCACTCCTAAGTCTCCTCCCCAGGTCCAGCGACAAAGCCAGCGCGTAGCGCCACCATGCGGCAGAAGGTGATATCGATCTTCTTGTGCTACCTGCTACTCTACACCTGCGGCGGGGTAGAAGCACGTAAGGATCCTGCGGCAAGGGGACTTTGGTAGAAAGAAGGGGAAAGTTTCAGAACCCTTGGTTTAGAGATTCAGGCGTGCCTCTGAATGAGAGGAGCTATTACAATGGACAGCACAGGCTTGTCGTAGCCAGAGTCCCAGATTCGAACCCTACTCTGTCAATTTCTCCATTCTACTGACATTTATCCAATGCCAGTTATGTGCCAGGCACGACACCTTAAGGAGAAAAGTCTCTTCCCTTTTGTGAGGTTCTCCCCAGGAGGGGACGTTCTTGGGTTGTTCCTGAGCATCAGGCACAGAGTAGGGGACTCTGTTGCCTGCTCCACTCCACTTTGTCCGCTCTCCCGACAGACACAAGAAAAGACTCCGAGGACAGCAACTCCGGATTCTTGGAGGCCCTGCCCTACGTAGCAGCCGGAGGAGGTAGGTGTGGAAGGAAGGCTGAAAGCTCAGGAAGGTGGAGCGGCCCAGGTCGTGGGCGCTGCCTCACCACCTCTTCTTCCTCCAGTGGCCCTGGCCTTAGGTCTGCCCGCTGTGGGCTTCACCGCTGCCGGCATCGCTGCCAACTCGTGGGCATCCTGGCTGATGAGCTGTTCGGCTGTGGCGAACGGGGGTGGTGTGCCCGCAGGAGGGCTGGTGGCCACGCTGCAGAGTTTGGGTGAGTCGGGGCCCCAGGAACAGAGACACTAGTGCCACATAGCCCCCCGCTTTACTGTTCTAAGTCCTTTCCACAAGCCAACTCGGCTTTCTGAGGAGGGTATTCTTATAAACCCCACCACACAATGGGCCAACTGAGGCACTGATTGATTCAGTAATTTACTCCAATTCTCCCAGCTGGCTTGCACTAAAGCCAGGATTCAAATCCAGTCAGTCTGATTCTTTGCGTTTAGCCTGGTGCCTCACTGATGCTTTGACCAAGTCACAGCAAGCTTGCTTTCTCATCTGTCAACGAGGATAATCATCCTCAATTTCACATTTTATGAATCTGCTCAATCTCAGACACCCAGAGTAGCAAAAGCCTAGAGTGGCAGGACAACCCAATTCAACCTCAGACCAACCCTGGTCTCAACACCACGAAGGGAATAGATGTAGAGCTCAGAATGATCCTTCTAAAAAAATATACGTTCATATCTCTTTCTATGTGTCTCTCTTTCTCGCTCTCCCCCCACCTCCACTGTTTTCTTTTTCTTCCTCCCTCTTTCTCTCTGAGGCCTCCAAAAATCGTAGAGAAAAACCACCCCTGACAAACTGTCTCTCTGCCTTTCTGAAGCCTCCATCTTCTTTCAGTTCTGGATGATAAAGCCCAAGGAACCAGCCTGAAAGAACAGAGCCCTTTTCAGAGGGGGCAGAGGGGACCGAGGGGAAGACACAGGCTAGGTCATTCCCCAGCAGTGGGAAGTAATGGGTGTGGGCCGGGCTGGGAGCAGCCTTGTGTTATAAGATGGTCATTCTCTCTTACTTGTGAACCCCCCAGCACCCACAGAGAGGTCTCCACCAAGGTAACTTATTAGCGTTATTAATGACACCATGTGTTCACTGCAGACATGAAAAAAATGAGTTGTTATTTTGTCTTTTGCATCTCTGAAACACAGCTCTGTTTTGAGGTGGCAAGTTGGGGGAAGGGGGTGATAGGATTCACTATGCAGGAGTCCCAGCCCCTCCCAGGCCCTCTGTTTCTCCATCCAAGAATGAAGAGGTTGGACTTGAGCAATGGTTTCCAGATTTTTGGATTCCCAGGCCTGGGGCCTGGGCTACAGGTGGCCAGGCTGTACTTGCTTTACAGGAGCTACTGGTGGCAGTACCATCATGGCCAAGATTGGTGCGTTTCTAGGCTACGTAACCTACAAGCATCAAAAGAACCAGAAGTCGAAGGAAGAGGAGTAGTCAGAAGCTCCCAGGTCAATCATCCTTGCCATCTTTCTCCCTGTTACACTCCAGGTTTCTCTGTTACACTTGTGGGTGAGCGGGGAGAACAAGAAAATAAACTTCTCTCGAAAAACACTTTTCCTGTGAGTCGTCCATTTGCTATGAGAAGCCCAGCAAGATCCGACTCTGGTCTGCTTTGTCCACACACCCCACCCTCATTTCCTCTAAAGCCAGCCACGGCTCCTTGAATACAACCGGCTGATTTTGTCCCTGGGCCTTGGCATGTGCTGTCCTTTCTGCCTAGAATGTCCTTCTGGAGCTCATAACTGGCTCAGACACCCCCTCCTCTGGGACTCTTCCCCAGCAGAGCTTCCTGCTGTCCCTGTCACACTAGGAATGCTCAGGCTGCATTCCACAGTGGCACTGGGGAAGAAGAGCTCAGTCTGTTCTCAGTGAGAGAGATTAGGCAGAAACATAGACACAAGATCTGCATTCTCTGAAGAAGCACCAGAGTCATCTCCCTCTGATGGAGAATAGAAGGCCAGACTCCTGGCTTGGGCAAAGTGTGTAACAGCAGCTTTCAGAGGGCTCGGCAAGGCCTTCCTTCCCTCAGAGAACTCTGGGATAGGATAAGCAATTTGCATCTGGAGCATATGCCTTCTGAGTGGGGAGGGAAGGCCAACCAAAGCCCTTGGGGAGATCGGAAGTTTGGGAGGCCCGTCCAGGTGAAGCGGAGTGCCAGAACCTAGGCAGGCTGAGGACAAAGAGACCCTAGAAGTCAAATGTCAGTAAAGGTAGAGCTGGCCCCATCCCTGGCAGAAAGAGAGAATCGTGCTGTGCTCTGGTCTGTGAATGGACGCCAGCCCCAGTGCCAGCCCGTCCTCTGAGGAGATCTGCAGCCCTGGGATGTGGCCATGTGTGACCCATAAAACCTTGTCACGAAAAGGCCAAGCCAGCTGTCCTCACTTATAATCCAGGAATTCTTCCATTACAAATGTGTATGGAGGGCCCTGACCAGTGTGGCTCAGTTAACTGGGTGTCATCTTGCAAAGCGAAACGTTGCCAGTTGGATTCCCAGTCATGCCTGGGTTGCGGGTTTGGTCCCAAGGTTAAGGCATGTGTGAGAGACAGCCGTTAGATGTTTCTCTACCTCTCTCCTCCTCCTTCCCCTCTCTCTAAAAATAAATAAATAAAATCTTTAAAAAAGAAAAGAAGCACAAATGTGTATGGATGAGTGGGGGAGAGGGCCATCCTGCTTGCGCGTGCCCCCAGGTCCAATGCCATCTCTGCAGATGGCAACTGGCTGCTCCAGCTGGTTTGCTCCAGGCCCCCAGAGAAGCACTTTGTAGAAAAGGTGCACAGGTGGTACCATCTTGCTCTGCAAATATTGTCTCCATGACTTGTAACCAAGAACAGAAGCTGGGCTGAGTCTCCTAACCTGATACTCACGATACAAGCCTGGACAGTCCTTCCTTGGCGAGGGCCATCCATGGCAGGGTGGGGGAGTGAGAGAGTGGACTTCTGCCCTCAGAGAGAGGTAGGGTCTCAAGCACCATGCTCTGCTGAGGCCTATTAATTGCACCCCAGTTTGTCTATGGGGCTGACATCCCAGAGACGTTAAGTGTATGTCCTTCATCCCCTTCACAGAGGACACTGTGTGAGTTATGTCTTCTCTCTAGTGCCCGGAAGAGGCCTGGCACACAGTAGGTGCTCAATATATGTGGGCAGAATTGAAACTGAGGTTAGTCTCCTCTACTCCCATCCACCTGTCCCTACATGTTCCCCAATCTTCATGGAAAGGAGTACCTGGAATTCTTGTTCTTTCTTTGGGGTTCCTTTGATAATGCCCATTGTCACCACCAGGCAGGCATAGGGGACAGGGACCTGTACCCCCTTTAGCACTGTGGTCCAAGTAAACACAAGCCCCTTACCTTTTATTCAATGTTCTCTAGCACAGAAGAGTTTGCAAATGAGGCAATGGAGCATAAGAGGAGAGTTCCTCTGGAGTCCCATGGACGTTGGTTCATTCTTGCCCTATGTGCCCCCGCACAAGTTTCTTCTCCTCTCTGTGACTCAGTTTCCTCCTCTGTAAACTGACAATGATAATAACACCTAACCAATGGGTTTTTTTGTTATGAAATCGGATGAATTAACGAACAGAGAGAGTCTAGCATGATGCCCGGCACATAGTCAGCACTTTGTAAATGTCAGCTCTTATTATGATTAGGGACTTGCATAAAGAGAAGAGGAAACAGCCAAATGCCAACCAGGAACTAGATCACCTAACTTTGGAGTCAGGGTTTATTCTCTAGGGCGCACAGACTCTGTTCTGCTTTTCTCCCAAGGGTGAGCATCCTCCGCTTATTCCCTTGGCATCTTATTCACTTGAATAGCATCAAGGCCCAAGAGAGATGGACAGCTCTACCCTGGCCTCAGCAGTTTTCAGGCTAAATAACATTCAAGGGACTTGCCTTTAAGGGGAGATTCCACTGACCACAAGGTCCCTTTGGGCACGTGCAAGATAGCTCCTCGCCTTCTTTATTCTGCAGGCATTTACTGGGCACTTGGCCTGTGCCAGGCATTGTGCCAAATGCTGAGGATGTGACAGTGGAAGAGACCCATTTCTTACCTACTTGGAGCCCACAGTGCACAAACTGGGAGCCCCCCCAAAGCATCCATGACCCCACTTCTCCCTGCCTGCCACCACATCCTCATCCCTATCTCCTTTCTCCTGCCCCAGCCCCCGTCAGCCTTCGCAGAGCACAGTCACCTCGTCTGCAAAGTATGAGGCAGGATGACGAACACAGAACAGAATTCGCCAGTGCAACAAGTCAGGAGATGCTAATGCACTTTTAGACTCCTCCTTGGCAACGGCCTTCAGAAAAACACATAGCTGAGCCCTGGCCCAGCTCCAGGGTGGGATGCCTCAGGCAGGTTACTTGTCCTCCCTGACTTCCAGCTTCCTCGTTTTGTAAAAACCAGTAGGGTTGAGTATCATGTTCTCCAGGACACTTCCTACTCTGAAATTGCTGAGCACAAAATGCGTGCCTCTGAAACCCCCTGGCCCTGTCAGATCCCGGCCCTGTGAGGGTGAATTCTAATTCTGAAGCTGACAAAAGCCATCTTGTTGCCAACTTTGGTACTAAGGTGGGTGACAGTGCTGAGAAATGCCATGTTTGGTCACAAATGGGGGTGACTAGAAATTAGCAGGACAGTGCCTCACTCTGGGGTCACACCCAAAGACAAGTCTGATAATAGTTTCCATCTGTGTGGCTGACCTGATGGAAAACTGCACTGAGGTCCTCCGTCCACGTCGTTTCTTTCTGGACCTCAGTGTCCCAGACTGTAAAATGGAGGAGGGGAGGAATTGGAATCTCATCTAGACCTAGAATCCCTTCCCTAAGTGCTCACATTAAGCTGTCACACTCTTTAATAAGATCCCTCCATCCAGGGATTTCTTTTATTCATTAAGATCCTCCCTAGACCCTTGAAAGTCAGCTCGCTCCTGGCCCTGGCAGGCCTCCCACAATTCCATGGTGCTATGTGCTAGTGTGGCCACCAGGTGACAGTGCAATCCCATCCTGAAATCCTCCTCAGCCTGCACCGTCCTTGAGCAGCTCCACAATTACCAACAGCCCTCCCTGGGCCAGGCCCCACCAGGGATGTTAGATACCGAAATGAACCCAACCCTGCCCCTGTCTGCAGTAGGAGCTCCTAAAGCGCATGACAGTGGTCGATCCTGAGGAATGCTGCAGGGCCTGCCCCCTCCTCTCTCTGGATCTCCAAACTCCTGAGCACAGCCTTTTGGACCCTTTGCAAGTAGGTCTCACGTTTAGGGGTACAGCCTGCGCTTCTAGACCTGAGCCACAGGGATTAAAAGGAAATGAGAGAAGCACTTCACACACACACTTCACTTGGCTGGGCCGCAGAGGCGATGCTGGGAACAGAGTGTCCCTGGGGCCAGCCTTGAAGGTGGCCTGGGCCAGCAGAGGGCCTGGTCAACAGGCACTGGAGCAAGCTGAAGCAAAGGAGGCCCGTGGCTTCCTGTGAAGAACTGAAGAACCACTTCCTTTCAGCAGATGGCTGTGGGGGAGGGGTGGAGACTAGGGAACATGGGGTTAATGGCCCAGGGCAAAAGGAAGAGGACCCCAAGAAGGCCCTGTGAATGAGGCCCCATGAAGAGGCCCAGAGCACCTTCAAGTCCCCTTCCCTCGGGAGTCTCCATGGAGCAGACAAAGCAGACAGGCAGGGTCACACCCCTCTCATGTGGTGTGAAGCCACAGAAAGGAGAGTCAAGTTAGGGGCAGGCCCATTTGTATAAGGCCAGTAAAGAAACGGAGCTTTTGGTTTCCCAAACGCAAGCCCAAGCTCCTAGTCCCAAGTACCCATCCACCCTCAGAACCCAGCCCCAGAGACCCAGCCCCAACTTCCCAGCTCCACGTACCAGCTCCCAGTGGGGTGTCCAGTGTCCAGACAGAGGCTGGCAGGCCCCAGTGGCTCTTTCACTGCATGGGGGAGTGGCTCTATAGCAGAACTTGTCCCAGAATGTATTTACTGGGGTCTGTTTCCTTGTAACCAGCACTAAGGGAAATGCCAGCCCAACCATGATGAATAATAACAAACCCCAAACTGGTACAATTTTACTGCTTTTCTTCTATTTGCACAGACTTGCTTGTCCAGTACCCAGCCCCCACTCACCCACACCCCCAGTTGGATGGAGCACCAGATCTCCCCAACAGGGACAGAAGCAGGTCAAGGTCAAGGAGGCCTCTAGAAACCAGCCCTAGGCAGAGAGGCAGGGCCTTGACTTAGGGCTCACCACCCCTTAGCCTTGCTGCATGACTTTGTCTGTGCCTCTGCCTAGCCTCTGTCTGGCCAGTGGACAGCCCTTCCCTGCCTCCTTCAAGAGGTGGTTGTAAGGAGAAGGACGGAGCACCCATCTCCTACCAAGAGCACAGTGTGGTTCAGTGGCTCCAGGTGTCGACCTGAGGAAGAGGCAAAAGGTCTTCACTCAGCCACAATTGCTCACCCTCTCTCTTGGAACCCATCAGCTCAAGCCCACTACTCCCTCAATCTTCCCTACTTCGGGCAAAGGCACCTTCTGGCATTCAGGTACCCAGGCCAGACATTTCCCC